ACTTAGTCATGGTGTATGATTCTCCTAATATGATATTGAATTCAGGTTGCTAGTATTTTTATATTAATGTTCATCAGGGATATTGGCCTTTAATTTTTTTCTTGTTGAACATGTTGTTATCAGGGTACTGCTGACCTCATAAAATGAGATTGGGAATATCCCTTCTTTGATTCTGTGGAAGAGTTTGAGAAGGATTGGTATTACATCTTTGTAAAATGTTCCATAGATATTGCCAGTAAAGCCATAAGTTCCTGGGTTTTGTTGTTGTTGTTGTTGTTATTCTTGTTGTAAGGTCTTTGATTACTGCTTCAGTCTCTTTACTAGTTATTTGTCTCTTCATATTTTATTTCTTCCTGACTCAGTCTTGAACAGTTGTGTGTATCCTTCCCTTCTAGCTTATTAATAACCTGAATATAGTAAGGTATTGAGCTTTGTCTCAAATGTAATGAATACAGTCATGCACCACATAATGTTATTTAGGTCAACAAGGGACTGCTTCTATGATTTTGGTCACAGAAGATTATAATGGAGCTGACAAATTACCATCACATAGTCAGGTCATAGCCATCGTAACGTCATAGCACAACACATTAGTCATGTGTTTGTGGTGATGCTGGTATAAACATACTTACTGCACTGCCAGTTGTATAAGAGTATAGCAGTACAATTATGTACAATACATAATACTTGATAATGATAATAAATGACTATGTTACTGGTATATGTACTTACTATGTTATACCCTTTAACATTATATTAGAGGGTACTGTTTCTACTTATAAAAATAAATTTGCTGTGAAACATTATGCCATTTTATACACTAGCATCCTCCTACATCTTGTGTTACTGCATCTCTTGATTGCATCATTTTCTTTTGTGCTTGACCTAATCTCATATTTTATTGCTCATCATGGCCCCCGAGTATACGAAATCACTGTTGCTTGTAAGCACCCACTTTGAATAATTGATCTGGTAACAAAATTAAGAGTGATTAAGTACTAAAAATGAGGAAACCAGGGATGATTATGGCTTGCCAGTCAGGCATATTTCATTCTACCATAGCCAGATCTTGAAGAACAAGAACAAAGTGATAGAAGCTGTGAAAGGATGGAAGGCAGCAAAACTAACAAAAGAAACTTCCAATGACCTGTAATGAAGGCCAGACCAAAATCATAGAAGCTGTCCCTTGTTGACCTAAATAACATTATGTGGTGCATGACTGTATTCATTACATTTGAGACAAAGCTCAATACCTTACTATATTCAGGTTATTAATAAGCTAGAAGGGAAGGATACACACAACTGTTCAAGACTGAGTCATGAAGAAACAAAATCTGAAGAGACAAATAACTACAGAAGTGTATCTCTCTCTGCACCATGGTGATCATGGCCAAAACAAAAAGTTTGTTTGTGATGCTAAACAGAATTGGGCCCAATTACAATGTTGGATTTACTGTCAGCTCTATGTGGTTTCAATAATTCCAGTATATAATAATCAAGTAAGTGGTGAGGATGCCAGAGCTGATATGAAGACAGATGAAGAATTCTTGGAAACTGATTGCCATAGAAAATATTCAAAACGAATAAGACCTCCCTATTCTGGAAATAGATGCTTGAAAGGACCTTTATCCATAAAGAGTCAAAGTCAATGCCAGGTTTGAAGACTTTTAAGGATAGAATAATAGTGTTGCTTGGGGCAATGTCACAGGCTACAAATGGAAATCCTTTGTAATCTGGCACAGTGAGAACCCCTGGTCTTGTAAGCAAATCAATGAGCATGCACTGCCTTGCACTACAGAAGCAATAAGAAGTCCTGGATGACTCAGCTCCTCTTGCAGGGTGCCCTCCTGAATTGCTGTGCCAGCGAAATGGAGTACTGTTTGGAGAAAAAAAAACCTTTTGAGATTTTGGTGATTGTTGATAATGCTCCCAGACATGCTCTTTTAATTGGTGATCTTTATCTTAATGTTAAAGTGGTGTTTCTCCCTCCAAATGGGTCTTCCAATGGGTCACAGATTTATGGCAGATGTTAAGGCCTGCTATCTAAGGAAGTCCTTTGCCAAATTATTGCTGCAAGCGAAGGAGCCACTGAGAAGACACTGATGCCATTATGGAAGATTACAGCATATATGACCGAATCAAGAACCTAGCTTGGGCTTGGGGTGATGTCATGAAGGAATGTATGTGTGACATAGGGAAGAAAACACTCAAGAGGTTCCTCCAGCCCTAGCCGGTTTGGCTCAGTGAATAGAGTGCCGGCCTGCGGACTGAAGGGTCCCGGGTTTGATTCTGGTCAAGGGCATGTACCTTGGTTGTGAGCACATCCCCAGTAGGAGGTGTGCAGGAGGCAGCTGATCAATGTTTCTCTCTCATGGATGTTTCTACTCTCTATCCCTCTCCCTTCCTCTCTGTAAAAAATCAATAAAATATATATTACAAAAAAAAGAGGTTCCTCCATGACTTGAAAGATTTTACTAAGGACGGAAGGTTGCAAAATGCAACAAGGCTGTGGTTGACACTTAAAACTTTAACCTGAGTGTGGATGAGGTTGACATTGAGAAATTCCTAGAGGATTTGATTTCTGAGAATTTGGAGGAACTACAGGAACACATACCTGAAGAAGAGTTAAGAGAAAAGAAATCTTCAGGAGATGGAAAAGAAGAAATTCCCCCAGAAAATATAGTGTTCAGGTTCTAGCAGAAGCTTTTACAGACATCAACAAGCTCATTAAAAAGTTTGAAAACATGGGCCCCAACACCAAAATGTTTCATTAATAGAGAGGAATGTTTATCCAATTTGTTGACCTACAATTTCCACAGTATTCTCTTACTATCTTTTCTAAAATGTTTGTGACATTAGTTGTAATGTCCCAAATTTCTTTCCTTATATGGAGCCTTGTTTCTTCTACTCTTGGTTACTCTACCTAATAGTCTGCCAGTGTTCTTGACCATTTCAAAGAACCAAGATTTTGTTTATTGACTTTCTCTGTTTTCTCCTATCTGGATTTTATATCTATTTATTTGCTTGGGTTCATTTTGTTCTTTTATTTTTAGCTCTTTGAGGCTTAATGTTATGTTTTTCATTTGAGATCTTTCTTGCTTGGTTGGTTTTTCTTTTTTGAATATGGTTTCTAATTGATTTTAGATTTATTTTTTTAAAAAATATATTTTATTGATTTTCTTACAGAGAGGAAGGGAGAGGGATGGAGAGCTAGAAACATCGATGAGAGAGAAACATCGATCAGCTGCCTCTTGCATACCCACCACTGGGGATGTGCCCTCAACCAAGGTACATGCCCTTGACCGGAATCGAACCTGGGACCCTTCAGTGCACAGGCCAACGCTTTATCCACTGAGCCAAACCGGTTAGGGCTGATTTTAGATTTAGAGAGAGAAGAAGGGAGAGGGAGAGAGAGAATCATCAATGAGAGAAAAACTTCTTTCAGCTGCTTCCTGCATGATCCCCACCATTGGGTGTAAGCCTGCAATCCAGGCATGTGCCCTGATGGGGAATGAAACCAGTGACCCCTTGGTGAATGGGACGGCACTGAACCAACTGAGCCACACACAGGCCAGGGTTCTTTATTTTTTAATGTATGCATTTACAGCTAAAAAATTTCTTCATAGCCCAGCTTTTGGTGGATCCCATAAGTTTGGATATGTTCTATTTTAATTTTCATTTTTCTGAAGGTATTTTCTAATTTCCTTTTCACTTCTTTGGATTCATTAATATTTAAGAGTATGTTGTTGAAGTCTCACAGTCATGTGAATTTTTAAGCTTTTCTTCTCATTAATTAGTAGTTTCATGCCATTGGCATTAGAAAAGATACCTTGTATAATTTCAATATTTTCAAAGTTGTGAGACTTGTTTTGTAGCCTAACAGGTGATCTATACTGGAGAATGTTTATGCATTCTTGAAGAGAATGTGGTATATTTTGTTCTTATTGCATGGAATATTCCATATACCTATACTCACAATAGGGTCATATACAAATTGGTTGGGACGCCGTCACAGTAAGGACTGATCAGGAGGCTGCGTGTCCAGCAGGCGCGGGTGGGCGTGGACTTGTAAGTCAGGAATGGGGCGGGGGCGCGGTGGCCGAGGGTCCACAGGCACAGGCACAGGCCTCCACCTGAGGGGCGGCTACCAGGTGAGCGCTGCGGGTTTGGCGAAGCGGCCCTCCAGGAGCCACTGCGGAGAAACCTGTCGGTGCAGGTGTGCGCAGAGGACTCCCCAAGGCGGCCCTGACCGCGTGTCCGCCTGAGGGGCAGCTCCTGGGCGATCGCCGCAGCTCCGGCAAAGCCAGGAGGCAGGCGGCCAAGGGATGCAGAGCTGCGCCGAGGTGGGGTGCACGGGAGGGGGCTGGTGCCGAGGGATGGGGCCTGTGGGCGGAGATCTGCCTCCCCCGCAGAGCGTGAGGTTCTGTATCAGCCGCAAGACATGGGTCGGCCCGGCTGGGAACAAGGGGCCATGGCTGCTGGTGTGGAAGGATGCCCGCGGGGAGGGGGACGGACCCGCCTTCCAGAGGCCGGGGTTGAGGGGTAGCGCCACCTCGTGGAGGGACACCGCACTGCCGGGTACCCCACTGTGGCGGCCCTCGCCCTGGTGGCTGTTGCCCCTCCTGGCGAAGGCCGCTTCACCACTCACCTTTCTGCTCCTTAGCGAGACCAGTGACCGCCAGGCGCCTGCGCACTTGAGTATTCACTGGAAAAATAATAGTGACTAAAACAATGTTTATTCTCAAAAAAATTATTTGGATTTCAAACACTAACGTGATAAAACCACAAAAATCGCGTTAATTTTATCTGTTTCTTGTCAATTCCATTTGGACTAAAAATACCATTTCTTAAAAAAATGAAACATCACAATTTACCAACTTTTTATGCTATTTTCTTAAATTTATATTTGCATTTAGGCAGTATGCCCACAAATTATTAATTGAAATGATCAACAGGATGGAGAAATAATTTAAGCAATATATTTTTTTTTTTGTACTTAGTATCCAAAGAGAATATCTTTAGAGGCTTTTTCAGTTGTTATGGCACAGCTGCTTGGAGTTAATCTGGGATTAAGATATGATGACATCTATAATTGTTACTGTCCAGGAGCTGCATGCATTATGAATCCTCAAGCAATGTAAGGTGTTGTTTCTATAAACTCTATGTAGTTTTTGGTGGAATGTTTGTAGTAGTCTTTGATGTATAATTGCTTGCAATACAACTTATGAGTAAAAGAGATTTTTATGAAATATATACGTTGTTATTTAAAGATTATTAAATACAACTAGGATTCGATATTGTAGAAAATGTACTTAATATTTCTATATTCAATGTTACAGTCTACAGAGAAACTATTTGTTGTTAGTGACTTTCTGGGGCTTGCTATAGTCTTGAAGTGAAATTTATTTATTCATTTTGAAAATGTAATGGGCATTGACTGTGTTGCAGGGTTGTGTGCTTGCCTTACCAATGGTTAACAAGGTAAGTAAGTCCTAAATATCTAATATTAGTGCATTAGGGACAGGAAAGAAAAAAGTGGCCATAGAATAAACAAAATATAAACATCTAATGATAGGTGCCCAGAAGGAGGTTGATAGGGAATACATAGGGAGGGGAAATTTTCTAATAGTAGTAATGTGGCCTAGGAAATATTCTGTAGGGACCTGAAGAGAAGGAATGAACCTATTCATCTAGAGAACTTATTGAATACCATTGAGGGAGGGCAGGCGAGTGATACTTGGATGGCAACAAGCTTGAGAAACTCAACGGACTATTAAGAGGAGATTGAGGGGTGAAGGGGATGACAATGAAAAACAAGAGACATGGCTTGGATTATAAGGACATATATAGAAGGCATAAGGAAAATAAAGTAAGCTGCAAGGAGGCTAAAGAACAATCAGTCAGGGGAAGAAGTCCAGGAGTAACTAACATGGTGTATGTAGGAAAAAGCCTGATTGTGTAATCATGATGCGAGTGGTGGGATTTTATGATCAATGTAGCAAACCAACATTTTAAATTGATTTATAAAGTATGGCTAATAAAAATTATTTTAAAAATGAATAAATAATACACAGAGGGAAATCATTATAATAATATTGGGGAGATGATTATCATAATTACATCAATTTATTAAGATTGAGAGAAGTGGAGATGGCAAGAATTATTTGTAGATTTTTGGATATCACAACTTAACTAAAAGGCAAATGTTTAGTGAAAAAGGCAAATGCTTTAAGAAAGGAGAAATTGGGAAATCTTGAGGCAGTTTTCAATGCTATATCGGGGGCCCTGAGTCATTTATTAGTTAAGTGCACAGTTAGGATCTCTGAGGACAAGGGATCTAGAATGTGTGAGCCATCTGCATATTGATGGGAATTAAAACCATGGACAGTTCATTTAGAAAGAAGTTGAAACTAGTGAAAGAGGTGCCCTAAGATGTAGCTTTGCGGGCTTGTCATAGAAAGGAAGAAAATATTTGAATTAGAGAGGATGGCTCCATACCTAGGGAGGACTATGTTTTAAGAAAAGGGAGAAGATGGAAGTCAGATGGTAATTTAGTCCCCCCAAGTTTCTGACAAAATAAAGAGTAAAAGTAGGAAACAAACAAAAAACCAAAAGTATAATCTACGTTTCCCAAACTGGAACACAACAAAGATACCAGCAGGTGGGTTCAATTCACTAACAAAATAAGACCCGCATGAAGTAAGTAGCTGTGCAGGAGGAAATAAAATGAACACGATGATGTCACTCATTTGTGGAATATAATGAACAACATAAACTGATGAATAAAAACAGATCTAGAGACAGAGAAGCATGGATCAGACCCTCAAACCTCAGAGGGAAGGGAGGGGGGTTGGGGGAAGGGGGAGAGATCAACCAAAGGACTAGTATGCATGCATATAAGCCTAACCAATGGACACAGACACTAGGAGGGTGAGAGCAAGAGCAGGGGGTGGCAATGGGGGGATAAGGACACATATGTAATACCTTAATCCAGTGGTCGGCAAACTGAGGCTCGGGAGCCACATGCGACTCTTTGGCCCCTTGAGTGTGGCTCTTCAACAAAATACCACGTGCGGGCGTACACGTACAGTGAGATTGAAACTTCGTGGCCCACGCGCAGAAGTCGGTATTTTGTGGAAGAGCCACACTCAAGGGGCCAAAGAGCCACATGTGGCTCGCGAGCCGCAGTTTTCTGACCACTGCCTTAATCAATACAGAATTAAAATAAATTAACACAGTGGGACCTCTAAAAATCTCACTGACCTGGGAGCTCAGAAATCTTTGACTCATCCACTTAAATAGAACTTCTGTGTGTCAAGCACTGTTGTGTTTTAATATATCCCTAACTCATGTCACTTTAACTTCCTCTACTTACTAGAATTCTATTATATTAAATTATAATATAAATGAACTCGTTGCTTACATTTTCTATGACTTGTATTAAAAATCAAAGCACTCTCCCCTCCTTGTTTTTCTCTGTCTGAAGTTGTACAGAATTAATATGTAGTGCCATATTGAAGATTGTTAGTTTGATAGTGATTTTGCTCCATTTATCTGAAGAATATAATTTAATTTTAGACATTCCCGTGGTGTAAAGCTGTTCAGCAGTTGCAGCGTAGATGAATTTAAACGTGTAGTTTCACAGCCTGAATTTGAATGTCTTCAAAATCAAACCATTTCAAAAGTGGTTGTCCAAGGAAGAGCATCAGAATGTGGCAATGGAATTGTGGAAAAGGGAGAGCAATGTGATTGTGGCCCTCCAGAGGTTAGTGTCAATCATTAATGAGTAGCTAAAGACTTGTTTTTCTGCTCATAAGATTGTGATACAAAAGGGAAGGGCTTTTTGTCAAATGCTGCACCATTTCATCAACTATCTAAGACATGGAGATATTGGGCATGTGAGAACGGACTCACCTTGCATTTGAAACATTTGAAGAATTTAAGTATAGAGTAAGTACAGGTAAGTGTAGCATGGATTCAATATGATTTTCTTCATTGTACAACCATTAATAGCAACACTCACCTTTCTGTATCATAAAAACTAGCACCCTCAACAATATAGTCACCTAAATCATGTCCTGAATTCTTCCCAAGTGAGTACTGGTTCCCAAAGTTATACAATGTGTGTTGTTTACCCCCCCCCCCATCTCTAAATTTCTGTCCTTGCATCTGCGGAACTTCATTTATTTTAACTTGGTTGAACAGAATTGAATAAATCATAATGCATCATTCACTATTGTTATATTTATTTTTTGCTATTATTTTTTTTAGTTGTGCTTGGTAAGATAATTAATTAATCAGTGAATTTTGTTGTGACTGTCTTCATATACTTATTCATTGTGATGTTGTGAATGATATAGATTTTCTAGAAAATATGAAGGCTTTCTAATTATTAGGGAAAAATTCCATATAACTTGATTACATTACAATTGTAAGTGAATGACTCAAAATCTCTGTATTTTTATTAATTTTGATTTTTTGACCTCTCAGCGCTTGAGAAATTATATTGATACCTCCAATGATACAGTTGTATTTGCCTCCTCCTCACTAGAATTTACTCAATTCATTCTTTATATTTTAAAGCTGTTTTATGTGGTGTAAACTTACGATAGTTATACCTTCCAAGATATTAACTTTGTACCACCAAATAGTGAGTCATCTTATCTCTAATGCTGCTTTCTGTTTTAAAGTCAGACATATCTACCTCTATCTCCATTACTATCTCTGTCTCTCTATCTCTCTGTCTGTCTCTATCAGTATGCATGCATCAGCTTCCTTTCATTTAGCACGTCCCCGATATTTCTCTATTATCATTTAGTTTTTCTATACTATTACCTTCAATATCTACATTGTTTCCAATTATCATTTAATCTGTATTTGATTTATAAGATTATCACCTTAGACATTATTGTGATTATTATTTCTATTATGTTTTCATTTTTACCATGCTTATTTAATGTTTAACAATATCTGGGCTACCTTCTCCAAAATAACAGTGTTTATGACTCAACTAGTTTATATACAATGTTTGTTAATATTTCATTTCTGTCACCTCACACTTTATAGTAAAAAGTACATTGAAGACTTTATTAAAACATAGTTACTTTATTTTACCTACCATTCCTTTAGTTTTTTATATGTCAAAGATTCCTTCTAAAATTATTTCCTTAAACTATATTTTAGGACAACAGTACTCTTGAAAGGCAGTACTCTACCTATGATTGTTTAGCAATAAATATTTGTCATTCTCATTTCCTTGTGATATATAACACACATGAGGTATATACATGAAATATGGATGGAGAGTGTAATGAATTATAAGCACCCGAATAATTTGCACTTAGGCCAAAACAAATTTTACCGATGCCAAAGTTCTTTGTGTGTCTTCTCTCAATAACATGCCTCTTCCCACAAACCATCATATAGTATTTGATGGTAATTGTTTCAGTACTTTGCTGCTCATTATAGTTTTACATCCTATTTTTTGCATCTTTATGCAACTTGGTTTGGTTGACTGTTTACTACCTTTATACAACTTACAATCATATGGTTTACATCATTTAATAAATTGGTCTTTCACCCAATATTGTACTTGTCATGTTTATCAGTTTCCTTAAGGTAGGTATAATCCAATTGTTTTCATTGTTCTTAGTATTAATTTTATGAATATTATAACTTATCCTTTCTATGTCCATGAAAACTTAAATTTATTTCACTCTTTGGCTACTAAGATTCATGCAGTTATGACTGTTCTTACACATCCCTGCTGCTGTACATGTGCCTGCATTTCTTAAGGGTGTATACCAATAGGTGAATGTGCTATGTCAAGAGGTATATATGCATATAAAACTTTGAATTGAGGATATCTTAATTATTCTGGTTTTCTTATGCTTGAATGGTCTTTTCATATCTTTTACACATTTTCATCAGTATTCACTGCTTTGAAGTGTCAGCAGTTTATCATCAATATTGTAGGAGGACCATTTGTATGCTGTTTCTCCAGTAAACTAAGTTTTCTTGGCATGAGATGAGTTTTGTAGGGAGGGGTCCTAGTGATCTTGTCATTTAGGTAATCAGTAAGTGGGCTACTTCTGGTTTTTGTTTGTTTCTTTGTTTTTTTCAGATGGAGAGTCTCCTATTTGTGGTTTATCTCTGTAAGAGGCCATTTGGTTTATATGGAACTTTTGGGGCGGCTTCTCACCCAATTGATTTGCATTGTTTCATAAAGGGGACTGTAAACAGAATGGGTATATTTGAACACTGATTTGTTGTTCCACTTATGTATGCATTTATTGGTTGATTCTTGTATGTGCCGCCACTAGGGGTCACACCTGCAACCTTATTGTATCTGGAAAACACTGGAACCATCTGAGCAACCCAGACAGGGCCCTTTTTCTAGCTCTTTAAGATGGAATGCTAAGATGTTTATTTGGGATTTCACTTGTTTCTTGAGATAGGCCTTTACTGACATAACTACCCTCTTATTACTGCCTTCTCTATATTTCTCTATTTTTTTTTCTATTTTGCTTAATCCCTCAACTCCCAACGAACCTCCCTGAACACCCCAACCACCCCATTACAAGAGGTGAATGCCTGCTCTCTACCTATGAATGTGTTTCTATTTTGCTTAGTAGCTCGGCTTGTTCATTTACTTTCACATATGAGTGAAATTATATGGTATTTGTCTTTCTCGCATTGTTTTATTTCATTTAGTATTATGTTGTCCAGATCCATAGGTAAAATTTTCTTCCATTTAGAGATAAGCAAATAATGACAACAATTTTCTTTGAAACAGTTCTTATAATACCAAAATATTATAATTTAAAAACCTCTATTTTGTCACATATTTTGTCACAATCATAACTTGTTATACATTTCTAAAATTATTTCTTGAGAAGACTTGATATGGAAATATAATAAAAGAGAAACATGCAAATTGACCGTACCTTTGCTATGCCCTAAGCCATGCCCACCAGCCAATCAGAGAGACTATATGCAAATTAACCCAACCAAGATGGCGGCCGGCAGCCACAGAGCTGGAGCAAGCAGGAGGCTTGGTTGTCCCGGGAATGGAGGAAGCCAAGCTTCCTGCCTGCCCTGGCCGGCTCTGGCCTCTGCTGAAGGAAACAAAGTTTCAATTATAGAAGATAAATAAACCCCAGATACCTGCTTCCAGCCAGCCTCCACTGGGAGGTTGGGTGGCTGGGGGCCGTGACTAGCCTACAAACAGCCATCAGCCCCTCACCCAGGCTGGCCAGGCACCCCAGCGGGGACCTCCACCCTGAAGGGGGTGTGACCAGCCTGAAAACAAACATTAGCCCCTCACCCAGGCTGGCCATGCACCCCAGCAGGACCCCCCTCCCTGAAGGGGGTATGGCCAGCCTGAAAACAGTCCTTAGCCCCTCACCCAGGCTGGCCAGGCACCCCAGTGGGAACCCCACCCTGAAGGGGGTGTGGCCAGTCTGAAAACGGCCCTCAGCCCCTTACCCAGGCTGGTCAGGCATCCCAGCGGCACCCCCACCCTGATCCGGGACACCCTTCAGGGCAAACCAGCCAGCCCCCACCCATACACCAGGCCTCTATCCTATATGATAAAAGGGTAATATGTAAACTGACCCTAACAGCAGAATGACTGGGAATGACTGGTCACTATGACACACACTGACCACCAGGGGGCAGACGCTCAATGCAGGAGCTGTCCTCTGGTGGTCAGTGTGCTCCCAC